ACAGAAGGATACGAGATGCCCCCCCCCCAGCACTGCAGGGGCTCTAATATAATGCAGTCGTGGCCTGCTTAAACGGACCTTCTAGGCAACTATGAGCTAGAGGCCGATGCAATACGCACCTAAATATGGTATTGGAGGAGTCGTTATTTATTCCGTGAGTTACCTGCGGTTTTGATACATCTCTGCGTCTTTCATGTTTGCTATTTTTTGTACGTGTTGTTCTCTCCTTGTACAGAGGGACATGGTTGGCAAGGGCCTTAATCAAAATCATTCCATTTTTGCTAGACATATACCATTCCTGTTGTTTCTGGTTGCCCTCTGAACTTTACCTACCTCGTTTGAAGCAACGTGCGGCAACTTTCGATTAACAGTGGTTCTGGAGAAGTAGAGGCGGTTGTTGAATTTTGTGCAGATCGCGTTCATCCAATTTTTCACCCTTTGACGACTGCCAAGTTTATCTTTCCCTGCCAATTCTCGCAATATATCAAGTTGGGTGCTGGATTAAAATGAAAAGCACTCTTATCGCTTCAAGTTGAGTACTTTTCGGTAAAATTAAGGATGCTTAGAATTATGCTGACTAAGACATGGCTGCAAGACTCGCAGATCACAGAGGTAGAAGAGTTCTGTGACATGCTGACGTTTCCACTGAACCCTTTACTAGTAGTAACGAATTAACTGACCGTGCTAATCAGCCCAAAGGTTTCACCACCGATCAATAACATACACAATATCATAACCGTTATGGTTTCTTTCACTTCAAGCGACGGGTTTTATTCCATGTGGTCTGTCGGTAGAGATGGTCGTTTCGAAGAGTGAAACGTCCATTCGAGTTGATTTTGCAGTGCATGATAAAAGAAAGTGGTGATCACATCAAAACTTCCGTTTTGCACAAGACGTTCATAAGTTTTCTACGGATTCCTTGCTAGTAAGTTACACAGGTCAGTAATTCGTTTTGTGGAGGATATCCACCCCACCGAGTTTCACGATACTCCTTACCACTGAAACGGCAAGTTGCTTTGTAACAGCCTGCATATCAAATAAGCAAATGCGGTCTCTTTTTAACTTCTTCGCCATCATCTGTTGGCACAGCGGTTGTAAAGTCGTCTAGACTGCATATTTGACGATAGTGAGAATTGTGCTGAAATCTCCATCAATCGTTCTGTAAGGATCGAAAAAAAAACGATAAATCGAAATTTAAATCGAACCCAGATTAAGCTATTGATCAACGCATTGTCAAAGCTAAATCGAGATACAGTGGGTCGATATGTTTTTAAAAAAAATGAATGCTTCCTACTAGCAAAATGTTTGCTTCCAATTTCTGTGACAATCCGTACAGAATTCATGTTTAATTTGCACATGACATTTAATAACAGCTACGTGGTTAACACTTGATCTTCGTGTCCGTCTCAAACGTTCATGTCCTAATTCTTGTCGAGCACAATCACACCGATATCGTTCACTTCGGGTGCAAATTTGAACTTGAAGTCAAATCGCCTCTTTTCACCTTCAGCGCTGGTACAGAAGTCCTCCAGCTCCAGGTACGGATCGGGGGGGTTCGGCGTGCCGTTCGTGTCCTTGTCGTAGCCGCATCCCTGTATCGTGAATTTTCCGTCCTTGTCCGTCCTGGTTCGTCTGAAACGCCAACGGTCAGAGAGACAAATGCGCCAAATGATAAGCGTCGATCTGCGTACCCCATGAAGTCGTCCGATCCACCTTCTTCATTTTTCGTCTCGTCCAAATCGTACATGTAGATCATCTTACGGGACACCTCCCTCGGTTTTCTGTGGCATTCTAACTTTCCGGTTGCCGTAACGCACCTCCTGTCACCGTACGCCGTGCGAGACACAACCAGTGATACGACGATCAGTAGTAATATTCTGTACGCAGTAGTGAACATGGTCCACAACTTTCAAAACGGAGGCTGAAACGCAAGATTAATCGAAAATACCTGAACACAGTATAAAACACTTTATTTATGCACAGTGGTACGAATGGTCAGTCGGACGAATGACCAGTGCCGACATATCATCCTCCGTTTGTTTCCTACGGTATTTATTTAGCGAACTTCTTAAACTCCACGGCCGTTTACTCGCGCACTCGATTCTTCTTGCAACTTGTCCTGTTCATTGCCGATTTAATTTCTTCATTCGGCAACGACATTGCAGACTTGTGTTTGTGTTCTGATCCATTCGTTCGTCTTCATATCTTTTCTTATTATTGCCAGCATACCTCTTTTCATGACGCGTTCTGTAGTCTACATTTCACAAACTACTTTCAAGCTCAGGGTCCATTTTTCGACCCATTGATAAGGTTAGCAGTGGGAGCATGCACTAATCAAGAACCCTCCGTTTCTACACTTTTTTGTACAGAGACATTTTCAGTCTTCCAAAAGTGCTCTATACCATTTTTATTCTTCCGCTGATTTAATGCAGTGGGTTCTCCGTTGCGGAACTGAGCTGTCCCAGATAGACATGGCTTTGTGCCTCTTCAAGCTTAAGTCTCTGGGCTTTAACAGCTGACTGGGTCACTTACTTTTAAATATGACCAGTCTTCTTTCAGTCCTAATTTGATGATGACGTTATCCGATTAATATGTTTAAAAAATTATGCCTATCGATGACTCCTTTACAATAGTAAATTTTTCAAATAAAAATTTAATTGAATCAGGCGAAGAATTATGATCTGAAGATCAAAGAAAAAGGAACATTTTGTGGCTGTGGTTGGAAAGACAATTTCGCAATATAACAGAACGCAGTGACTCGTGAATTTGATTTAGTCGACATTTCGACTTTCCACTTAACAACCGCCAGTAAATGTAACACCAGTGACTTTCTTTCAGCTAAGCAGGTCAGAAACCACAAGGAAAATACAAAAAGAAAAGTTTGTAATCGGAGTTGTGTCAGTCGTCCTTAAACTCACATGAGTGACTGCCATGCGTTGCACTCTTCTTTCGTAGAGCTTATGGTAAAATGTTAATGTACATGACAACGGCATCATCCGGGCTTTCTTGTTTATTTTTTAAATGTATACCCACAGCTAGGATAATACTATAGTATGTAGTTTCTGTTTCTTTACCACAAGGTGGCAACTACTGATTTACCACTGGAGAATGAAAGACGAGTAACTCAAGTGAGGATCGATAGCATTATTTACCAGGGAATGAGTCCCAAGCTACAGCAACTGAGCCATTCGTGTGATGAGAAACGGAACCCAGTAAAAAGACCTCAAATTAGCGGTAGACCATGTGATACTGGTAGTACATCTTCGCTTAAACAAGGGCCAATGACAATGTCGTGTACCTGCCTCCTGTGAACAATGGCTCTTACCATCGTCAACGTCACGACTGGGTACCGTACGCATCCAGCCAAACTGGAAGACTACACATAATTCTTCATAATACCAGTAGAGCCGTCACAACAACGCTACGTACAACCCCTTTGTCCTGATTACCCAACTTTTTCAGCACCTGAACCCTAAAATCCGAAAGGGTGACTGTTGCCTTTGAGCTGTGAGAGAACTGCATGATAAATTACAAGAAAAACTGTTACGCTCGTTCAGGCTGAAATCGAGAGATCCGTTGTAGACTAGGCCAACCACCCTCGACATAATCGCATCATCCTTCCATGTTGCGTTTTAGTCTTCGTCTTGAGCCTT